TCTCTCTCTCTCTCTCTCTCTCTCTCTCTCTCTTCCCCTCCCCCTCACTCTCTCTTTAAAAAAAAAATAAATAAAAAGGAATGGGGATGTGGCTCAGTGGTAGAGCACTCCTGAGTTCAGTCCCCAGGACCAATAACTTGGAAGGAATATCATGTCAATCACAAAAGAAGCCACTCAGTGTGATTCCATGTGAAGTTTCTGGTCCTATAGGTCAGAGGCAGGTGAATGTTGGCAATTCATAGGCTTCAACCTAATATAAGGCACATAACCAGATGAATGGCAGGACTGTCCATGGCTGGGGGATGTGGCCAGAGGGACATGGGGGCTGCTGGGGCTGTTTGGTTTATTGTGTGGTTTTGCATTGCTAGGGATGGAACTCAGGGCCAGGCACGTGCTGGCCAAGTGCTCTGCTCCGAGAAGCACCCCAGCCTCAATTTTCTATCCCTTGATGTGGGTGCTGGTCATAGAAGTGAGTTTAATCATTGAAAATTCCTAATTATGAGGCTGGGGATGTGGCTCAAGCCATAGCACGCTCACCTGGCATGCGTGCGGCCCGGGTTCAATCCTCAGCACCACATACCAACAAAGATGTTGTGTCCGCCGAAAACTAAAAAATAAATATTAAAAATTCTCTCTCTCTCTCTCTCTCTAAAAAAAAAAAAGGAGAGGAGAATGCTGAATGTTTCATTTAAAAAAAAGAAAAAGAAAAAGAAAATTCCTAATTATGACTGACAGTATGTGAACATTTTTGTATGTGTGTAATACTTCAAAATAAAGTAAAAAGCAATCGGTGCGACAGCACACACATGTCATCCCAGCAGCTAGGGAGGCAGAGACAGGAGGATTGCAAGTTCAAAGCCAGCCCCAGCAAAAACGAGGCACTAGCCACTCAGTGAGACCCTGTCTCTAAATAAAATACAAAACAGGGCTGGGGCTGGGGCTCAGTGGTTGAGTGCCCCTGACCTCAATCCCCAGGACCCCCCCCCGCCCCAAAAAGTAAAAAGCCAGAAAACAAACAAACAAAAAGGATAATTCCTTACCCCTCCCAGGATGCACCCCTGCCTAGATCTTGTCATTCGAATGTGAGAGCTGTGGCTGTGACTTTGAGAGGGGTATCTGTTGGGGTCCAAGGTGTGACAGCCCTCAGGTTGTTCCCTCCTCCCAGCTCAGATGTTGCTGGACCTGGCCTGCGGCCCTCACAGTCTGAGGCTAGGAATGTAGCAGTTTCCCTGCTCTCTTAGCCAAGTGACTGCTCTGCCTTGAGAAGTCCCTCCATGTTTGCAGGGAGGACAGTGGAACTGAGACCCTCTCTCAGGCCATCTCTAGCAGGATGCCAGGTGCACTAGTGTGGCGCAGCTGGGGGGAAGCAGGCCCACGCTCTGTGTAAGGAAAGGCCAGTAAGGACTCCCAGGTGGCCAGCACCCAGAAAGCTCCAAGCTCATTCCCCAGGATCCGCTCCTCTTCCAGAGGCATCCTAAGAGGGCACCGAGCTTGCAGCCTTCCCAAGGAGCAGCCCAGCTGGGCATGGGGTGAGCATGGCCTTCCAGGGCTTTCTGTGCAGGAAGGCCTTGGCTTCTGTGTTGAAACACACATCCTAACACTCAGTGTCATGTCTTGTCTAGTGTGTGTCTTTCTCTTAGAGGGGAAGCACCCCAGAAGTCTGTGATGGTCTTGACACTGACTTTCAGGGGCTTAAGGGTGGGCCTGGCTGCCTCTGTCTCCCTGGGATTTGACATGGCTGTGCTAAGTACTGATAGGAGGATGCTCTGATGAAGCAGCTCATGCTGGCCGCAGGGCCTTTGCTCATGCTTTCTTCAGCTGCAGCATGTCCTCCTTACAACTGCTTTCCTCCCCATCAGGTATCACTCAGAAAGGTGTTTCATGCCCAATGTTGGCGTGCCTAGGGGAAGGCTGGGCAGTGTGGTTGGGTTGCTTATCAACATCTATGAGCCTGTGCCCCTACATGAACCCACACAGGCCCACTCTGGTCTTTCTGAAATAACCTCCTGGCCCAGCTCCACCTTCACAAAGGCCTTCCCAAGTCTCCCAGCGCCTGGGAGCCCTCCTGCCCTCCCTTACTCTGATGACACTCGTGGTAATCATGGAAGCTAGCTGGTCCCAGCCCCACTTTGCTTGAGGAGCGACACAGGCCCAGTGACCTGTCCTGGGAGGCCACATGGCTAGTAGAGGCACTGTCCGGCTTTATAGCTGGATCCCCGAGGGGACCCACACTGTGACCTCTGTCACAGTTGCATGGCTGTTGGAACCGAGTGCTCTAGGAAAGAGGAAGGAGCAGATGGTGTGACCCGGTCCCAGCTAAGTGCCACACGACCGACCCGATGACCTCCGAGGCTCCTTAATGCCTTGTGGGCAGAGGCACAGTCCCTTTTCTGTAGCCCAGCCTCAGACAGAATTGCAGCCTCCGCGTTCTCGTCGCCTGATGGTCCTCAGAACGGTTGTCTGGCCACTCCCTGGGCTGCCCTAAGCTTTGCCGCCAGCCCAGCTCCACAGGGTGACGGGCTGCCGTGGGGTCTCTGCCGCCAGGCTGGGCCTGCACATGGAGATGTGGCCGCCTTCTGTGGGGCCACAGCTCACCTGGCAGCTCATCTTTGGAAAGTGTCCTTATGGGCCTGGTCTAGACCATGCCCAAGGAGCCTCTGAAGCCTGAGACCCGAGCCAGTGCCAGCTGCTGACCTACGCTGAGATGTCATCCCTGCTTTCGCTTGAGGGAATGGAGGTCTTTAAGGAGGGTGCAGGGCCCAGTGCGGGGTCCTGCACCACCCGACCCAGCACTGCAGCAGCGTTGGGGGGCCCAGAGCCAGGGCCCAGGGTGATCTGATTTGGGTGTGCGTATACATGGGCAGGTCATTCACCAGGGAGACCCCAGGAGTGCAGAGGCGGAAACTTGGGGTTTCTGAAGGACACCTAGAGAATGTGTCTGACCTCTTACTCAGGGATAGAATGGGACTGAGTCAGAGTCACTCAGGACGATGGCATCCACCCTAGGACATGGGGATCACGCCTGAGGCCCGCACACTGCGTATGTGTAGGTACCACGTGGCTCTTCTCTGCTCACCCAGGTCAGCCAACCTTAGGCTTCGGTGAAGAGCCTCACACGGAAAAGCCCTGGAGCAGCCCCATGGAACCTCCGCATCCCTCTCCTGTCCTGCCTCATTTCATCCAGCTCCTTCTCCCAAGCATTGGGCGCTCTCTCCTTGGTGCATGCAAGGGACTGTCCCTAATCAGGGGTCGGAGCCATCCTCTTGGCTAGTTGGAAGTTCATCCAGGTGTCAGATTTCTTGCTGCTTCGGCTGAGCAGGGCTTCTGTTTCACACCTTCCCTTGGGATGAAGTGCCGCCTGGAGGTTGTAGGGACGTCCCTTCTCTGTCCTGTGGCCTCAGTGTCCAGCCACACTTGAGCAGAGCATGCAGTCCCAAGCAGGCAGTCCCAGAGCTGAGTGAGGAGGAAGTCCCGGGGGGCAGCCCTCAGCCTCAGCTTTCTCTACTTGGGCCCCAAATCGGCCCCTTGTCCCTGTCACCGAGACCCTGAAGAAAAGCAGCAGTGGCCTCTTTCACTTGAGCACAGCTCTTGCCCTGGGTGGTGAGGTGAGACCCGAGGCTGCCCGAGGAACAGAGATGTGTTCCTAGAGAGTGTCCAGGGAATAGATACGTGGGCAGTCGGCTGGAGACAGGAAGTCCCTCCGCCCCAAGGCAGGAGTGGAGCTCCCAAGGAGGGGCGTCAGGGGGTGCCAGTGTGTCCAGGTGGATCAAGGTGTGTCCAGTGGGGGAGTCTGTAGTCACAGGACTCTCGGAAGACCCCGCCAGGGTCCTACCTGGCTCCAGGGTTTGTCCTCTCTATGGCCGACAAACTCCTGGGTGTATAAAGTAGACAGGTTCCAATCGGCTAAGAGAGCGTATATTCTGACTATTTAAAGCTGTCAGATGAAGGAACTAGATCTGGGGGCCCAGTGGGCTTTGGGCATGTTCCCATCTGCTATGACGTAAGCAGTATAGGGTTGTTAGGGCTAACGGGACATCTCTGGCCCATTGGTTTGGTGTCCCCCTGCCCCGTCTCTCTCCCTGAAGGCCATATTAAATGCTTCCTTCAGTCCTCTGTGCCCATCTTCCAATATTCTGGTAAACATACTTCTCCATCTTGCTGAGGTTCCTTAATGCTTTAATGCCCCGCTGGTGCCACGTGCTCCATGCAGATGGTGCCCTGGGGAGGCTGCCCAAGTGGCGGGCTCTCTCCACTTAGCTGGTGCCCTGCCCCAGCTGCCACCCTGGAGTGGCCTTTCTGAAATGCCCTCCTAGTTCTGCCAAACCCCATCTCAGAAGCCTTCACTCAACTCCCATCAATGGCTTTGTGGGACCTCGGGCGGTCACAAAATGACGTTTTCAGTGAAGGCTGCGGGTCCGGGCCTGGCTCACAGAGGATGGCTTCCTAATGTGATTGCTTGCATCAAACTGAAACCAAACTTCAGATCCCGTCTTCTGCCGGGACGCAGTGACTCCGTTGCCCCTGGTGACAGGAGCAGGACCGGCTGCCCCCACACAGAAGGGCTGGCCTGCTGACTTTCAATTCCTCACGTCTGTTTTTCATCCTTTTATTTATTCGGCTTCTTTCCCACAATGGGCCGTGTCCATTTGCCACATCACAAGGGCCACCCACAGGGACTGGGGACCCGTGCTGCGGTTTGTCAGGACCCCGAGGGAGCTGTGCCCTCTGCCTGGCTCTCGGAAGTTGTCCTTCCCTCCCGGGACTATTGGTTGATCAGAGTGGACACACAGCCTCCGTCCTCCCAGCTCTGAAGATTGCTGAGCAGACAAGGAACCGGGAGGCTGAGGAGGCGAGGAATTCACTCGGGTCATCCTGCTGGCCCAGGCTGGGGTGGACCCTGGAATTCTGGCCTGGGTCTAGATCAGGCTTTCCTCTGTGCTGTGGCATTCACCAGCCTTTACAGAAAGTGACTGTCCTGTCCCCTCTCTCTTTCCTCTCAGGAGCCCTTGGTGCATTCTGTCATGGTGAATTAAGGAGCCTCATCTAGAAGTCCTAACTCGCAGTTCCCCATCGTCGGGAAGGCTGGGACTCCAAGATGATTATAAAGGAATATCGGATCCCTCTGCCGATGACCGTGGAGGAGTACCGCATCGCCCAGCTCTACATGATACAGGTGGGTCCGGGGTCAGTGCAGACAACCGGGGGCCTGGGCTAGATTTCTGGCTTCCGAGCATGATGCTGGGCACCCAGGCACACTATGTGGCACCAGAGCCTTTGTTTTTGTTTTTGTTTTTTTTAAATTTTTTTATTATTAGTTGTTCAAAACATTAGAAAGCTCTTGACATATCATATTTCATACATTTGATTACACACCAGAGTCTTTGGCCAGCACTGTTCCCTCAGGACTAACTCTGAGCCCAGGTCTTAGCTCAGACTGCAGTCCACCAAGTACCCGGCCTGGGGCTTGAGCATCAGGCACTGGTTGGCCTGGCTCCAGGTCTGGCAGGTCCATTTCTGGGGAGAGTTCTCCTCCTAGTTTGCACACATGAACCCTCCCCCCGTGTCCCGGCATGGCAGAGGAAGAGGGGTGGGGAGAGGGAGTGGGAAAGAACACTCTGGTATCTTTTCTTCTTCTCATGAGTCTGTGAGTGTGCTGAGCCCATCCCGGGCTCTGAGCTCATGACCTCATGAGCCCTAACAGCCTCTGAAAGGCCCCTTCTCCGGAGACCATCGTACTAGGGGTTAGAACTTCACTGTGGGAATTTTCAGGGGACACAACATTCAGTCCATAGCACCCCATTTAAAAGACAGGTACTTTGAGGTCAGAGAGGTTCAGTGACTTACCCAGAAGCACGCAGCCTGTCTCCCAGCTCTCGAACCCCCACATTACTATGGTTGCTGCCATTTCAACAGCACTGTGGGACACGTGCCTGGTTCACAGTCTCACGTGAACAGCCATGTCTCACCCATTCCCAGGAGACATGGCTGCTCCCTCCTCAGTGCCTGCCCAGCCTGGAACCCAGGATCTGGAGTCCAGGATCCTGGCTGCTCTGGCCCTGACACCAGACCTCCTCCGTGACCCCACCCACTGGGGTCCTGGCTGGGGTCTTCGCTCTGCAGGGTCTTCCAGTCCAGCTCTCCAGCCAGCCTCCTGCATGGTCCATTGTGGCTTCTGCCCAACCTGTCCATTTTCCTTCAAGCTGAGGGCCTTAGGGCCTCCCACTGATTAGGAACCTGCTTGGCCTGTCTCTGGCTCCTCTGGGCACACTGGGGCCTCTGGTCTCTGCCTTGGGCCAGCTTCTTGCTGAACAGTCTCCTGGTCACCTCATCACACGAGCTGTCGGACAGAGGGGCACTGCTGCTGGCAGGGCCTGGACCTCCCATCCCTGGGTTTGCCTGGGTCGGGGGTATTATGAGCCCCCAGCAGAGCCTGGAGACCCAGCTCCTGCCAGGGAGGAGTTGATTGGAGCTACAGGGATTGGCCAGGCTAGCGGGGAGGAGAGCAGGAGGTGGCCCAGCTCTCTGGGGGGCTGTTTGCTCTAAGCTGCTACAGAAGGACCGCTCAATTCCCTCTCGAGCCACTTACCCCTTAATTATTTCTAGAGTGGGGAGAGGAGGAAGTTTAAATCAGGCCCAGCTCTTAGCACTCTGGAAATAGCTCAGCTCATTCTAGGACCAGGCCCATCTGCTACAGTTGCCATTTGTCCTGCAGCTTCTCAATTCCTGCCCTAGCAATGAGCCCCGACCACAGCAGGCAACCCCTCCACTGCACCTGGCCTTCCAGGGTGAATGATGGGGGTCCAGGAGGATGTGCCTCCAGCCTCTGGATCACCCCAAATCTACTTCTCTCCAGCACAGAACCACCCATGACTCTGGGCCACCCCAAATACCTGCCATTTGCACAGCATCTGTCTTTATGTCTTCCGTGAATGTGGCTGTTAAGCAACTCGCAGCCCCTGTGTGATGGGAGACTTCCTCCACGCAGCCAAGGCCCTCCCAACCTGTGCAGTGCCATCTTTTTTCTTCTGCCTCTCTCATATTTTTTATTAGTACGTTATTATCACACGTATTGATGGGATCATTGTTACACATTTCTTTATGCACACGCTATAGCAGTATGATTCGGCCCTCCCCAGCACTCCCCACCTCCCACCCTTGCTCCCTCTCCTCCAGCCATCTCCCTCTGATTTTCATGACATCCCCCTCCCCACACCTTCCTATTCCTTTTTTTCTCTCCAGCTTCCACATAGTGGAAGTGCAGACAGCCGTGCAGGAAGTGCAGAGAAAACATCAGACCCCTGACATTCGGAGTTTGATGTATTTCACTTAACATAATGGTTCCATCCATCTTCCTGCCAGGACATAGTTTTGTTCTTCTTTACGGCTGATTAAGCTCCGTTGTGTACATCTGCAACATTCTCTCTATCTGTTCACCTGTTGACGGACACCTAGGCTGGCTCCAAGTTTGGCCACTGTGAATTGTGTGCAGCGTCTTTTGATGAATGCTGGACTGTTAACCAGGCACATGGTGGGTGGAGACAGCTCCCCACTTGCAGACCAGGAGCGCCCAGGAGTGTCGGCCCTCAGGCCAGGTGGAGGCCTCCTGGTACTAGCTGGGCTCCTCAGCCACTCTGAGCTTCTGGTCTTGGGCCTTCTGGTCAGGAAGCACACATCTTCTTTCCTCCCCACATAGGCAAAAACAGTCAGGTGTCACCCAGAAAGGTGTTTTGTGCCCAGTGTTGGAGTGCCCACAGGCGAAAGCGGGCAGCGTGGCTGGGGTGCTCACCAACACAGGTGAGCCCGTGTCCCCACGTGGACACACACAGGAACACTCTAGTTCTCACCACAGCCACCTCTCTGGCTGCTCTCAAGGCCAGCGCAGCCTCTCCTCTGAGACCCCTGTGGAGGACCCAGGCCTCTGCTCAGCTGACTTGGGGTCTCTCAGCCCCTCCTCATGGCCCACACTGGCAGAGGCAGGAAGGTTGAGCCTCAGCATCGTGAAGACACTATAGCCAGGGACCCCAGAGCAGATGTGTACAGGGCCAGCTTGAGGTCGAGGTGTGGTCTGTTTCCAGGCAACAACGCAGCTAAGAATCTCAGTCTTTTGGAGAAATGGTGGGCTTTTAGGGCCCAGCTGACCCTGAGTTGAGTCTAGTCCTGGTGAGCGGGCGACTGAGTCTCTCCAAGCTTTGCTTTCTTTGTCTTTTACATAGTTGACCTCTCACAGAGCACTAGCCAGGAAGGGCTCTGGAAGCCAACTTCCTGTTCTACAGGTAGGAAAATTGAGCTCCCAGAGCCAGGACTGGAACCCAGCTCCTCCAGCTCCTGGGTGGCCTCTCTGGCCTGGAGAGCTCTAGGACTCCTGTGGGTCTGCAGGGGAAGCTACTACCAGCCTCAGAAGTGGGGGTGCCTTGGCAGACAGGAGCAGGGGGCCAGCGAGAGAGGACAAGGCACCCCCACACCCAGAACAGGGAGAGAGGCAGCCTCTCCAGGCACCAGCACCTCCCAACACCTCATCCCATGAGAGGGTCCTGGTGGGAAGTGGCGTGAGCTGTGCCCTCAGGCTCTCAGGTGGACAGGGAGGGCAACAGAGGCCAGTGGGGACTGTCCAGATATGGGGACTAGAACACAGGCACTTGACTGTGTCCTTCCTGTCCCTGAGACTCCCACTCACAGACAGAGCCCATCTCCTGAGGCCCTGCACATCCCACAGGGCCAAGGGTTGCTCCTCTGTTCTGTGGTCTCTCGGGCCACTCCAGGGCCTATGACACTCGCTCTTCCCAGCCCCACGTCCTGTCTTCCATTTGGCCCACTCCTTCTGCTCCTGCACTGGCCCCTTCCTGCCCTGACTTTGGACCTGAAGTCCTGGGGTCTTGAGTCCCTGTGGGGAATGGCTCAGAGGTCTGAAGATGTCAGAATCCGCACCTTGACATGTGCACAGTTTGCTGTGTCAGTCGGACCGTGTTAAACAGTAGCTGGGTCCACAGGCTTCTCTGTGCCCTGCCTGTGTGAGGGCTGATTGCAGAGGTGAATGGAGTGACACTAGCGTGTCCCAGGAGATGATATGGATGCAGCCGCCCAAAACACGGGCAGGAGTAGGGGAGAGCTGGCAGAGAGTGGGGGACAGGTCAGTGCATGGGCTCAGGCCAGCATGCCAAGGACCGGCATGTTCTGTGCTGGACCTTAAGAGGCGGCTGCATTTTCTTGAGAGAGTAGCAAGCTCTGTCCACCCCCACTGTGCTGCCCACAGCTGGGAAGCATCTGGGAAGAGGCCTTCCTCTGGCCCTGCTACCACGAGAAGGTCTTGGAAAAGATGGACGGAGCTCCCGTGGCCACACATCTCGCCCGCCCATGCCTGGGCAACGCCCAGCACACACAGTGTAGGGTTACTGGCTGGGAGCATCCACCAAGGCTCAGCCAGGGCTTGCCACCAAGAGAGGAGCGGAGGGGCTGGACCAGGACCCTGGACAGCTCTGAGGGCTGCCCTGCAGGGGCCCTTGGTCTTGCATCCTTCCCTTTTGGGAGCCTGGCAGCACAGCTCAAGGACAGGAGGCAGGGACCGGGTAGCTTCCTGAGTGGGCAGAGCACAGCATGACTGGGAAGAGCGTGCTCCCACGTGGCACAATAGCCGCAGAGCGCCAGGCCCACAGGGACCCCTGGGCAGGGCTGGCTGCCCTGGGCACACCAGCTCCAGAGTTCCTGATGACAGTGGCTAGAGCTCACTGACTCACTCTTCACCACACATCTACTATGCGGAGGCGTCAAAGTGCTGGGTCATGCAGACTCCAGGGCCAGCCAGGACCAACTGTGGCCCTTGCCTGAGGGTACCCCACTGTCCCAACCCCACAAGTAACCTAGCCATCCATAATGTCACTGGTGATGGTGGCAGCCCTGAGCCTGAAGCATTTAATCCTCCTGATGACCTGCAGGGTTGGTGGCAGTGCCCCCTAGGGGCAGGAGTTCAGAGATGTCAAAGAACTTGTCCCAGTGTCCACAGCTGGCCCCATGGAGCCAGTCTCTGGAGACCTGGCTAGCTTCCTTTGCACATTGCAAGGTCTCCTGTGGACCCCCCTCTTACCCTCTCTGAAATCACACCTTCAGGGGATTGGATCAGAGATGCCATCTACCCCTTTACATAGCCCTACCCACAGCATCCCAGGACTCAAGTACTCA